TTCACGATGATAAGTTTATACATGTGTATGTGTACACATATATGCTGAACTCTGTGTGTGCGTGTCAGTGGTGCTCAATTTTTTCTTTACTTTCTACACTTACTTGTTGGTACGCCACAAGTACAAGTGGATGAGCTCCACTGAGGCTCAATAACTACCTTAAATACAATTTTTCTCACCATTAAATGTTCGCCGGCAAATACAAGCCAGAATGACAACAGTGTTGCGTAGAACACTCCCTGTCGAATGTCACCGAGCAAAAGCATAAACGGCATATCAAAAGCGAGTGTTAAATATTCCAAGGGTACTAAAAATACAACATGACGATTATTACAATTATTGATAAAAACAAAGATATTGAAGTAACATTATAAAAAGCACAAAATGTAACATACGGTTTAAAAATGTTAAAGCAGAACCCAAAATCAAGAGCATGTACTCCAAGAGTGCAGGCGATCTAGATAACATGTACACCCTCCTCCAATACCAAACAAGAACGCCAAGGACTATCGGGAAATAAATAGTCTTCAGACTAACCCACACTTTTGTGAATCCACCATTTTGATTTATGGCCTGTAATAAATAAAAGTGCCTCAAATAATTTTTATTATATACTCAAAATATTTTGTTAACAATATTATTTTAATTTTCCTGTTACTTTAATACTCACCGTAAGCCATAAATCAACAATATGTCCCAATCCTTGGTTTTTGTCGGGATCGGAAGGAAGACGGATGTTTAACAGATAATAATCATGATGCAAAGATCCCAACTCAAACAGAGGCATGACACTACAATTGTAATTGTAGTGCTCCAATGGCTAGAAAATATTAAATTTTATGTTCGCACAAACATTGGAACTCTGTAAGAATAATATAATACGACGAGAGAAATTGCATATACCTTATCTATGCTGCAATCTAGATTTCTCTCCACAACAGAAGATGCGTACGGTTTCCAGGCATCATCAGAGTCGCCCTTGTTTCGATATGCCAGTCGTGCATCCAATGTTATCTTTGTTCTAGAAGCTGCAAGATGCATTTATGTCAGAAAAGCAGTTATTAATAATTTTATATCAATAGAGATACAGTTACCAATTTGAATCTGGCTGGTATAAGATATGTCCACTTGTAGAACACCTATCAAATTTTGTTGCCATCTAGAATAATCAAGTTGCATGTTGCTCCGAGGCACAGGCATCTAAAAATAATATAAATTTTTATGTTAAATTTTAGGTTTTAATCTTTGTGATACTGCCGTATATAAAAATGTCATTTCTTAAATTATGTACCTGAAATGCGTATACAATTTCATAAGGTTGTCCATAATTGTCAAAACTGTACTGATGTGTGTCAACTGAGGTACAAGAACCTTTTCCTCTTGAGTAAAACCATTTGTTATTATCAGATCCATTCACACTAACATCTTTGCATGGGGTGCCAAGAATATTTTGGCTGCTGGCAGGTGTAGGTGCTTAAAAAAAATATATATTTTTTTCAATTTTCTTTACTTAAACTCATAAAACAATTTATATCTTACATATCTTCATTTTTTTCTTCCAATATTATATTTTTTTATTTTAATACACACTATAAAACTTTGTGTGTTTTATAGATAATATAAATTTATTACAAATAATAAATATACAATAAAACAACAAATTTATAACATAAACAAGATTGCTGCGATTATGATTAAGTTTGATTTAATAAAAGCATCATTTAATTGTTTAAGAATAAGCTACAAAAATATATAAAATAAAATAAAGAATATAAAACGAGAAATAAATATATATTTACAATACTTTTAGTACTTATACATGTGATGTGTATTTACGTGAAAAAAAAAAAACAGTGATATACAAACATGTAACGATGTTTTAACCGAAACAGAGAAATCCGTTTAAGCAACGCTTTCAACTTACCGATTAAACCGCCTATCAAAAAGCAAACTATTTGCCCGATTATCAAAAGCATCACCAGAACCGAGAGCTTTTTGCCGCTCAGATTTTCGATTATTGTGCCTTGCATTTTTGCTCCCGCGAGCTCCCGTCGTACAGTACAACCGTATCCCACGACGAGAATGAGCTTTTATCCTTTTCAAAATTTCAAAACACACGTCGTAATCGACCGGAACAACGAGACGCAGACAACAATAAACGGAGCCGGGATGCCCTTCAAAATGGAAGCTGTCGCTACCAACGCAATAATACATCAAAATCCTTGAAAAACCCTGTCGAATCGCTCGCGAAAGTCGAAGATCGATTCGATCTATCGCATTGCGATTGCTTATTATCGATTGGCCGGATTTAGAGTCGATTAATCGAATTGACCGTGCGGTTTCAAAACTCACTACTCAGCACTGAAAACCTATAATGCACGTGACGTGAATTATGGATGCGCGGACGTGTAAACCTGTTGGAAGGTGTATAAAGAAAGACTAGAATTCTGTCACTTCATCTCTCATCGATACAATGTCGGAGTATTAAATTCACTTGGTTGTGTCGACAATTATGCATGCTCACGAACGTCATGAGCGATATTTAGTTATGGGAAATTCAGACACCTGGAAGATTCTTTGTTGAGTGTTTATTTTCTTTTTTTTTTCTTTCACACAGAAATATTTAATGTGCGCTATAGCCTGTGTTCAGACTTACTCGGCATCTGTATAAAGTGTTCATTGTTAAAGTGATTTTAGGTTAAATATGGTAAGGATGGAGAGAGAGTACATAAATGTACATTATGTATATATATTGAATGCATTTTATTTATTTGTTACTGTGCTAGTTCTGTAGTAAACTCGTATGTATATTTTAGTTTGTTATAAAAAGTATTAAACCTGTGTGAGTTGTATATATACGTACAATAAAAACTTGAATGTCACACAAGTAGAGAAAAAAGTTGCTTTTGTGTGTCAATTTCAATTTTTGTTATACATTTTGTTGTACTTTTTTTTTGTGTTAAAGTAGATAAAATTATATAATTTTCTCTCTTGTCTCTGTCTTGTAATTTGTTAGTGTTGAAACTTAGGGTTCCAATGTGGAACATTTGTATGCATGTAAAATATTCTAAGGAAGAACTAAATTAAATACAAATAATTTGTTCAAAAAAGTTCTTTTACGTTGTTTTCTTCATACATTTGTATTCTAGAAGCTCTGTCATCGGATTGCAAGCGGATGAAATCGCATGGTAGAGAGTGTTGTTCTTTGTTCTGAATTATACTTTCTGTCTTTTTTTTTTTTTTTGTTTTTTTTTATCTCCCAGATAGTATCTTACCGCTCTTTAAATAAAACAGCTAAAACTGAAACAGAACGCAATAGAAGAAAAATGAGAAATTGTCTAAACTTTCATTCCTGTCAATAAATATGCCAGTTTATTCATGAAATACATATATAAGTTGTTAATATTTTCTAAACAAATGTGTCATATATTTTCTGATTCTTTTTTATATCCCTCGATACTTCGCACTGTGCTAAAAACAAAACTCTCTTTCTCTTAATTGCCGCACAATATATGCGTAACATTCGTATACATTACATTACGTACGTTTACACATACGTAATACGTAACATGTGTTTTCTCGCGTTCGCTTACGTAGGAGAAATCTTGTTAACCGCGATATAGATTTGTCATCGCATCTTACTGTCGTGATGCAATGTGCATCCGCTTTCTGACACGGTGACTTGACAATACAAAATTGAAAAGAAACGCGTGTGTAACGTCGTGTGTTATCGACGTTCGCGAAAACGAATACGTCCGGTAAGCAGCGCGAGTTGGAAAGTGACGTAAGTGGGAAACAAACAGAGCGCATTCTGCGTGTCCGGCCGTGTACGATTGGGACGTGAGCAAATGCCGTCGGACTTTCTTCCACTTTGTGCGATGACGCGGATGTCTGTGTAGTCTACAGTCGAAAACGAGAAGGATACAGGCTCGCATCTCGTCTGTGGCGTGTCCCAACAGAGAAAGAGAGAGATGTTGGATACACTACTGATGGATCCGAACGGGAACGGCAAGCGTGATTCTCCCCATAGTGGTGCTACGCACTCCCATCGTCGTGTACCTAGTAACGATGTGAGTTTTATCGAACACACGCGCTTTTGAAAAAATACCAACGGGATTCCGTGAAACGTACCGAGTAATTACAAACTTGGTGCTCGTTTGCGTTTTTCGTCTAACCTATTTTCCTTTCTCGGCGGAATCCACGTATTATACGGCGATATGTTACTGACTTCAGCAATCAGCAATAGAATATATCTAGAAAGACGCAATATAGAAAAAATGCTCTTTTCATGAATCAGCTCTTGCTTTACGTTTATTTAATTTCATACTTTAAGTTCACATTTTTAGGGAGTATTTTTTTTTATTGTAGCTTTATAGTAGCTTGTGTGGGTGCTGTAACAGTGATAGTTGCATTTACAACATGGGATAGAAGCTGTACATATCAATTGAATAGTTATCAATATCTCTCCAATGATACATTTGTATTGCAATTTTATTGTTATTTCAGGAAAACAACAAAACAACTGACCTGGAATTTGTTTACGACGATACTGATTCCCATGCTAATGAGATTGCTGAGTTGTACAGCTACACAGAGCAGTATGAGCTGCAACTTAATCTCAAGGTATTCTCAAGCATTTCAACAAAGCATTTTTCAGAAGATAAATAAAGTGAAAGGAAATTTTCAGAAGTGACAATGTTTTAATAAACTTTGTATTAAAAATTCAGGCATTCGAAGATCAAATGGAATGGTACAAATTGCGACCCTGGTGGCAAAATTTGACCAGACCCCAGCAGAAGTCAATAGTGCACAAGTTACTGGATCAGTTGGAGGTATCCAATAAGCAGCTCAGAATGAAGGCGGCGCGTTGTATTCTCTATTTAGCTCAGGGTTGTTGGGCTGAGGTACAGTCTGACAAGGAACAACAAGACTGGACTAGGACAAATGTAATGATACTCTATGAAGCTGGCATTTTTCCAGCGTTTGTTGAACTGCTAAATATTGAGATTGAGTAAGATCACATTTATATACATATGTATATATAAAATGCTAGGCGTTTGCACAGGTTCTTCTAAAATAATAATCTTTACAGAAATAGCACAACTGCTACCTCAGCAATGAGAAAGCTAGCTGTAAGTCTTGCTGACTCGATAGACTTACGAGTCATCTTGTCCGTTTTGTATATTATCACAGAAGTTATGAGAGAGGAATTACGAAACATCGAGCACAGTGAATACAAGGAAAATGTGGAAGCTTTCAAGGAAGATCTTGGTACGATTGTGTTCGTGATGTACATGCAAATTTTTTTAATCTTTCGAGAAACTAGATGTAGATGTTTCGCGTGAAATGTTAATGAATCAATATTTTTTTTTTTTTTGTAGTGAATCCATACGGAGAAGAATTATTGATCATTAAACTTCTCGGCATGGTGACATGCTTCTGCAGTGGCTCTGCGCCACATTTTCCTATGAAAAAAGTTCTTTTGCTCTTGTGGAAGTTGATTTTAGTTTCTCTTGGTGGTATCGACACGCTCAGAGAGCTGAAGAAACAGTATCGTCAGGAGGCTGATCTCGATACGATACAGGAAGACACTATTGAAGTCGCCAGAACAATGAGAGCCAGTTCACCGCCTATGAGCGCGGCAGATTTGTTAGAAACGCAAAATCAGAAAAGAAACAATCGACCCTTTCGACGGGTAATTTATTAAGCGCTTGCTCGTATCACAGTGATTTCGCAATTGTTAATTCTTCAATGTATTTTCAGAGTTTGATGAAGCAGAGCTCGTTGGATGATCCAGGTCTGGGAATGGAATACGAAGGTGGGGAACCTACAAATAACTCTACAACAAACGAGGGAGATGGCGAACTGATTATATTCTGCGGTCCTGCTGGAAGCAGCTGGAATCAATCATATTATGAAGAAAATAATCCGTCGCAAATAGGACAGACTTTTAATCCGCAAATTGTGAAAGGAAAAGGTAATATTTTTTTGTAGTAATTAAATAACGCGTTAATTTCATTTGATATTAATCTGATATATTATCTCTCTCAGGTTTACCATGGACACCGAAAGTGAGACAGAAAGATGTAGACGCCTTCCTTGAAGTCGCTAGATTGAAGTTTGTCGGTTACAAGTTACAAGGAGACAGAGAAAGTTTAGCGGGTTTGCCTCAACCGATTCACGAAGGTGTCACGACCTTGAAAAAGGTAGTATTTTGAATTTTGTTAATAATATTGCAGATAACAATGTACTAATTATTATATTGTAATTTATTTCAGCACATGTACACGTCTCTGGCAGAGATACAGATACGAAAAGAAGAGGAAATAGCGAGAAACCCGATGAGCACTGTAGAACCACCGCTTCGTCAAACACCGACAGAAATTTTGTATCAAGCTATGTTACCGAATTTGCCGCAATATATGATCGCATTGCTGAAAATATTACTCGCTGCTGCACCAACCAGCAAGGCCAAAACGGATAGCATCAATATTCTGGCTGATGTGTTACCGGAAGAAATGCCGTGAGTATTAGATAAACTACAACGGTACATGCGCAATATTAATACGTGATATCCTCTTGTCATCCTCTCAAAAATATCTTTTTTTTTTAATCTAATTATTCCAAATATCAATATTTTTATCACGTTTTTAGAATGACGGTGTTGCAATCGATGAAATTGGGAATCGATGTTAACCGACACAAAGAGATAATTGTTAAAGCCGTTTCGGCAATTTTATTGTTGTTGCTTAAGCATTTCAAGCTGAATCACATATATCAATTCGAATTTATGTCACAACATTTGGTATTTGCCAACTGCATACCTCTCGTATTGAAGTTTTTAAATCAGAACATTATAGCTTATATCGAAGCGAAAAATGTGTAAGTAGGAGCGTGATGACGATTTTTAAATTTCCAAAATTGTGCACAGCTAATAATTTTTATTGTTACAGTATTCCTATTTTGGACTTTCCCATGTGTGTGATCGGCGATCAGCCGGAATTAACTACCGAAAGTCTTGAGATTGGTCACACTCAGACTTTCTCGTGGAGAAACGTTTTCTCCTGTATCAATTTGTTGAGAATTTTGAACAAATTAACCAAATGGAAACACAGTAGGATAATGGTAAACATATCATATTAAATTCAATATAATTTTGTCGTAATATTTTTTTTATATATTGTATATTATTAATGACGTATTACTAATGACAGGTCATTTCAGTTTATTAATGATATTTTCAGATGTTAGTTGTGTTCAAGTCGGCGCCTATTTTAAAACGTACTTTAAAAGTCAGGCATGCAATGATGCAATTATATGTTCTAAAATTGCTAAAAATGCAGACGAAGTATCTGGGTCGGCAGTGGAGAAAGACAAACATGAAAACCATTAGCGTCATTTATGCGAAGGTCCGACATCGTTTAAATGACGACTGGGCATACGGCAATGGTAATAAATTGAAGTTGTTTAGATCAATATGTGGGACAAGGAAAATTGTATAACGTATAGCTGCACGTTAACTGATTGAAATTATCCTTGAATTAGATTTAGAAGCGCGGCCATGGGACTTTCAAGTTGAAGAATGCGAATTACGTACCTGCGTCGATCAATTCAATAATCGGCGATACTCGAACACTCCGAGAGACGAAGAGATGGAACCGGTTGACGCGTCGATAACCTCAGTACTTGGCGCAAAGATAGAACTGACCGAAGAGTTCAAGCAGCATTACGAGCTGTGGTTGCAGCAAGAGGTATTTCAAAGGAGTATCAACTGGGACGAACTTTTGGATCCTGCGGCTTGTGAAATTTAAGAGGTTCCGCGATTAGTGTTGAAACATGATGGAAATCGTATTTTCATTGTAAATCACAGGACTTGTGAATGAGATAGCAGCATTTTTACGAATTATTACACTTTTACGTGAAGAAGTGTTCAAACGAGAAAGACGAATAAAGAAAGAAACATTGCCATATCTTGACACCGCAGAAATTTCAAAGTTGCACTTGATATATCGCGCGGTGAATGGTCCTAATCTAGGAAAATATCTAACGAAGACTCAATTGTGAAAACGGTGTAACATCTCGATTTTTTTTTTTTTTTTTTTTTTTTTTTTTTTTTTAATTTATTTATATTTAATTTGTGCAATGCAAACGTATAGTGTTCGTAGTTAATTTTTTATCTTTAGATATTCAATTTTAAATAATCTTCTCTTTTATATATATATATATATATATAAATATATACGTATAGAATTTATGTGTTTAGGATACAATTTTAATAAAATACTGATTTCTGTTGTTAAAAGTCGCCGGATTTCTGTAGATCGAGCTGTTTTATATGTATATCACGTACATAAGTTTGCAGGCATTTGACACACCAAATTCGATTTCTTACATTTTATATGTTTTTACACATCTCCTCGACCCCTCTCCTCTATCGCAATGAATATATAAACGCTCGACATCTCGATGTACGTGACGCGCAGAGACTTATTTCTGCATTTGTTTGATGATACAAATAACAAACATTATACTTATCGCATATATATATATATATATCTTCGGTTCTCACATCGTAAATCATGACACGCATCAATTTGTATTTATGTACTCATGTGTAGATAAATCTTACGTAAGAGAGAGCTGAATAGCCAAACATTGCGCAACTTAGCGCGCTGTCGCAGGATGTGATCGGTTGCTGCTTTATCTGATACGCACTCGGAGCGAGGAGTTCTTTTTCACAATATAGGTAAACAATTCGCAGTTCAACTTTCTCTTATTTATTTATAGTAATGTATAATTGAATAATCTCACAGATCTCTAGCGCTGTACAATTTATTACGTTGTCAATGATACTTGTACAGTAATATCGCGATTGGGCACCATATGTTTCAATTGTGTCGAGATTTAATAAAACTGATTCAAAGTTCGACACGTAGTTTTCTTCTCGATCTCGAATAAGACACACGATGTATAAATTTGTTTCTTCATCACAGTAAAATTGAACATGAAAAACATGAGTTATACATATTATAAATATACATACATAAATATATATAAAAAATAGCTGTAAAAATATCTTGCGTATGTACATATATGTAATAATCTGTCAAAATTTTGGAAATGTGACAAAAGTGTTGCGCTTGTATAAGTAGATTGTAAGTTTTTCTGGATTTTTTGTACTTCGCGGAATTGTATCTTGTATCACAGAGCAATGGACAATTGATATCACGGTTTCACCCACTTGTACGAACCGTAATAAGCAAAATTGTTCTCCTTCGCCATATCGTCAGCTTCTTTCGGTCCTCGGGATCCGTATCTGAAATGTTTTAATGAAACAATCACAACACGTTGACAAACGCGCTTATACACGAAACTTTTATAATTTTGCATCAAACACGTAACGTACTTGTATGGAATTGGCTGAATTTTCTCGTTTTCAATTTGATGAAGCAATGGCGTGAATATCCGCCACGCCTCGTACAACTCGTCGTTCCGTACGAAGTGCATTTGCGAGCCGCAAAATACGTCTAAGATTAATCTCTCGTAAGCGTCCGGTAATTTTAAATCCTGAAAAAAAAAAAAAAAAAATGATTTACATATACATACATGATATTTCAATATTATTCTGTATTTGACATCTACACTCACTGCAGTCGCATCGTATAAAATAAAATTCAATTGTTTTATAATTCACCTTGTATCTACTGCCGTAGGTGAGATCCAGTTCCGTTTCTTCCATGTCGAACGTAATGCCGGGCGACTTTGTCATCATTTTAATGTACAACGCCTCGCCCGGCTGAACTCTCACGACTAATTCATTTCTCTTCGCTTTTCCGTCGAAGATATCACCCGGCACATCTTGATATTGTATTCTGACTTCTGCCTTACGTTCGTTTAGAGCTACAATATAACGCGCAACCTGGATTAGATCAAAAAACCTCTAAAAACGTCTGATTTTCTTTTTCTATCTCGTTAAATCTTCTTACCTTTTCCACATCTGAGAATGAACGGCACTCCGTCCCATCTCTCGTTGTTTATTTTCAACACCGCGAACGCGAAGGTCGGCGTGTTAGAACCAGCTGGCACCGTGGGATCGTCCAAGTAGCCCAAACGTGCCTCCGGATCCTCGGCGTCTGGATCTCCAACGTATTGACCCAGAACAACTTGATCGAGTTCCAGAGTCTTGATACATCGTAGAACCTTCACCTTCTCGTTTCTAATATCATCCGGATGACAAGACGCGGGTTTTTCCATAGCTACCAGAGACAGAATCTGCAGCAGGTGATTCTGCATTACGTCACGGATGATGCCGAACTCGTCGAAGTAGCCGCCCCTGCCCTGAGTTCCGAACGGCTCCTTGAAGGTGATCTGCACCGACGCTATGTTGTCCCTATTCCACGTCGGATTGAACACTCTGTTCCCGAATCTCAGAGTCATCAGGTTCTGCACCATCTCCTTGCCGAGATAATGATCGATACGATAGATCTGTTCCTCAGTGAACAGCGACGCGAGATGATCGGAGAGCCTCTGCGACGAGGCGGCGTCGCGACCGAACGGCTTCTCGATTATTATTCTCGTCCAACCTCTGAAATTTTTCAGTTTGATTAAATTCTTCGCGAAAAATTCTCGATCACACATTAATTTGGTATTTTATAGTTTTATGGTTTATATTTGTTCTTTATTTTTATTGTAATGTGTTTTTTCAAAGAGATTTTACTTACTTCTTTCCCATACAAACATTTTTAATGTGCACCGTAACGCTCTCGAACACGCTCGGTGGTAGTGCCAAATAAAACAATCTGTGATCGGTGGCGTCTTTTTCGTACTTCTGTATTTCGCGATTCAAAAGCTCGAAGTCCTTTTGCGAATCGTACGACCCGGCCACGTAATGATTCAGTTTCCAGAACTCCTCGTACTTTTCCGCCTCGTCCGATTTTACTTTCATGTACGGATGACACTTTTCCCGCAATTGTTCGATCGTTAGTTTGCTTCTAGCGTAACCGACAAAGGCGGTGGGTTTTGGCAGAAGATTGTCTCGGAAGAGCCACCATAGAGTCGGATAAATTTTTTTCTTGGCGAGATCACCCTTTTTTTTGTGGAAAAAATTGCTTATTTTAACACAGTTATTAAATTACGATTGACTATTGTATTTTACTTAGTTTTTATAATATTCTCACAGAAGCTCCCAGAGTTATAAACACGTGCGGAATGAGTCTGTCGAAGTGAGTTCCCTCCAGATGGTCCATTTCTTCCGACTTCAGAGATTGCCTGATGTACTTCAGGCTGTCCTCCCTCGACGACTCTGTAACGAACGTTAGATATCAATTAAGTACAATAACGACGGCTCGTTCCGTCTAAAAACAAATCTTTTCTCAAGTAAAATTTCCAAAATGACGTAAGTCTAATAACGTGCAGTAATATTGATTTATTGTTTAACACATGAGAGCGACGAGCATGTAAAATTTTTAGAATAATTTGACTCGTTCGGAATCGGAAAAAAAGTTTGTATTTTAAATAAAGTGCATAATGTTTTTCCTATTTTGTTTTGCTTACAAAGGCAAATTTTTTGCAAAATAATCGGACGCTATACGTGTGTCGACCTACGTATTTTATATAGAATGTTTTTGTTTCAAAAAACAAATAGCATAAAGAATAAGAAAACATGACTCCTGTAAAATTTGTAGACAGATAACGTAAATCAGATAAAGAGACTCTTTAAAGAACAAATCACGCCAGCTATTTTTAAATATATATGTAAAATAATTATGAAATTAAAATGGCTGACGTTTGCAATCTCCTGATTGTGCACTTACAGCAAGGTCGTTTCAACATGTGTTAAATAATGATATCAATATTTACTTGTCCGTCTTAAATAAAATATTCATAAAAAATATAAAATAGTCCATCCAGTTTTTATCAGCTAAAATTATGCAAATATTTTTTGCGGTATTTAAAACTATGCATATAATATATATATAATTACAAAAAAAAAAAAAATCTCTACTCATCAAATAGTTTCATGATTTTAACAATTTTTTTCACATATAGAAATTTTTTTCACTTATTCACAATTTTTTACACTTAAAAAAAAATGTTTGACTTGTATTTCCACGTAAAAATTTTTTCTCAACAAACCGACAGAATAGAGAAAACAACTAATTAGTATTATCTTCTGTGCACTCTAATAAGTAACCTTGAAAACGGCGTGTATATAAAGCATATGTTAAGATGTCGCGTGATCGCATATTTCATCCGGATCCGGTCGAAGTTGAAGACATTTTCGAAGCCGCTTATTTTAGTAATATTTAGACTTCTTTTTTTAATTACATTATATTTTTTAAATCTACATTTAACCAACAGAAAATTAAAAGACATTTATATTTAAATTATAAGATATACCACCACCGTATGTTATTTAATATAAGCGCTACGTAACTGTGACATCTTTTAATTACCAGTTTCTAAATTTATAGATTTGTTCAAAAAGCCAGCTTTCACTGCGTCTAAACAAAATTAAAAAACAATTGAATAATGAAAAAAAAACCCCCCCGAAACGACTTGACTTTTTCATCGAGTAATTTATTTATTATTTATTATTACACCTCACTACTTTCAAATTTTATTTGCGCTGTTGTTGCGCAAAGAGTTGTGTTCCAATTGTCTTGTTCGAATTGTCACTTCTTTTTGTGTCGCATAAGAATATATATGTAGTGCAATTTCGAACTTACTGAACAAACATTTTACGGATTTCATGATTTTTTTTTTAACACAAATCGGGAGTGTGTTGTGCGCGGAAAAAAAAGACACTGTCAGAAGCTACGCGCGCGATAACTTGTCGGCACACTTTGCTGATCCCTCTCTGACAATCCTATCGCTTTACTCGCAGAACCACGACTGATTGTAAATGCCGTTGGATTTTTGCGCGCGTGTCGTGCCATTGTAAAATATTCGCGATGCGATACTGCCGACTCTCGGTGTAGAGCCTTCGATAAACCAATCGCGTACAATCATTATCTGCAAATAAAAATACTCTTGAATTTCTCCATCATGTCGAAGGTATAAATATCAACAGATCGCGAGCGAAGAAAAATGAAGAAGTTTAGTTTTATTAATGACACTTCAAGAGAGTCAGCAAAGATAAGTTACAAACTTGACGCGACCAAGTGCGATAAGTTCTTGTATCGGCGAATCTCCGATCGCGTAATCGTGTATGTGTATCTTTTCATGTTGCGAGATTTTTTGTTGACGAAAAGGATGACTCAAATGTTTTTCTGTTTGCACAATTAAAATTCGCGCGTACGTGGTATTTGCGACAATGCGTGTGATCCAAAGATCAAGATAATTACATGACGACAATTTATACAACTGTGAGTCACAAAGTCTCTGTGTTCTAGCGACGCGCGCAATGCGCGATGCTAAACTTACATTAATCTCTTCTCCGGATGATACTTTGAAAAACGTCAAAGGTTGCTGGAACAACACTGACAAGTGGAAAGCAAGACACCTGTCTGTATGTACATAAATCTGACGGACAATCTCGAGCAACGATGATCACGCGACATTGTGTAACAACAAATTTACGTAATGAACAACCGAGGATGTGAAGAGTAGTAACGTGATGAAAGTTGATATCTGTAATCGTCACACACAGAGATGTGAAGCGAGATGTTCGATTTTCTTGAATAAGGCGCACACACACATATGTCTTCATTCATGATCCAATTACGGAAAATAATTAAACTGCTAGCACTAATGATTATAAAATCGATGGAATAACGCAGAATTAAGAAGTGTACGTTAAAATATATTTAAAAAAAACATAAATATATTTTAATGTAAAATACATTAGAAATGAAAATAAAGATAAAATAATTTTTTTATATAAAAAAAATATTATAATATTGTTCACCGCATCATTTGGTACCAATTGATAGAAATATCTCGGAATCGATACACGATACAGTAATTACGGTTCTCTTTTTATATGCACGTGCTTATGAAAAGTACACGGAAGTTGAAATAAAATTGCGTATCTATTGTACGTTGTATGTGTATGATATGCGTCAGTAATATGTGCATTTTATGATGACGATGACTGGCAAATCAATGTATACGCCAACGAGCCTCGCTCAAACAAGTTTCTTTAGTGCATTTCTTGTTTCAAAAGATCGAGTTCTGACACATGCAGTCACGTAATTAACTTTATCGTCAAGTAATCTTAGAAATGTTTTGACCTTCACGTGTTTCAAAGAAACTTCTAGTCAAAACAAGATTGCTCGATTTTCAATTTAATTACTCCATTAAGAAAACTCGATGTAACAAAAAGTATTTAAAAAAAAATTGTTTATTCTTATTTTACATCTCAATTTTTACGTTGTAGTTTTCTTCAACTTCTCTTGTTTTGCGTATTATTTCTTTGTAGTGATTGGTAACAGCGCACAATTTTCCAAAAAGTTTAGCTGAGCCGACAGGAGAAGCCTGACTAAAAAAATCAACCGAAAGTAAAACTTTTGAGAACACGCAAACAAGCAAAGTTTGTGAAATTTGCACCGTCATCCGTGTGTCGCGTGGCGAATTATTTTAGTAATAATAAGGAAACGCGCGAAAAAAATAAAGTTAATTAATTTAACCACGTTTTTTTCCTCATGAATAATTATTATATTTTATGCATACGATTGTGTTATGTGTGTGTAATTTTTTACCAATATATAAATTTGTTATTTGAAATAATTATATATTAAAGTTAACGTTTCATTTTTTTTACGTGAAAGTTTATGTAGAGATAAAACATTGCGTGGTAGATTATTTAAAACTTTCTTACAAAGCAAATTGTTAACATTGTATATGACAAGATCGCTATCGGCAAAAAGATCGTAAGACACTTTTAAAATTCAAATTCGTTCTACGTCATATGAAAAACGCGCATAGGACATAACGTACGATTTATAAGTATTCAACATGATAAGGATTAAAAATGATTTAAAAATTACTTTTTTCTCGTCAAGAATTCAGTGTAAAAATATTTAGATCATATTTTTTTTAGTAAAATTATATAAACTACTGTTATACACATAATTATTTATTTTTATTATGATTTCGTAAAATAATCGAAAAACACTTTTACGTATATGTGTACTTGTTATAAAAAATGAATTTATTTAAATATACATTTATTTATTATTCCAAAATTATACGGTATCTCTTTCGATGTTCGCATATTATTAAAACATTCGTCTTACGTAAGACATACGGTTACAAATGATTGGACACAACTACACACGTAATTGTACTTGCGCAATATTGTTGTTTACACATGCCTTTGAAATTCACGGTGGGTTTACTTTCCGAGCTGGCCTAAATTACACTGACTGGAACGCATTGCATTTATTACATTGCACATTTATTACTCATTACAAGCGTTGTGTCAAAATCTAGAACGGCTGCGCGCCTTTCTCTAAATTTCGAGACGTTGGCTCATTCGGTTCAGTGACACACCACAAAGGAAGCTCTTTCGTAATTCCGTTTGGTTCTTAGTTTTTTTTTATTGTCTTTGTAATAAGACAATTATTTTAACACGTAATACAACGCAGATTTTTTAACTGCGACAGATTTGACATTTTTGTTCGAAAAAAGACATTAAAATTGTTCAAAGATTTTCTTCAAAAAGATTTTCGTGATCTAATGCTTTTCCTACTATCGATAAAATAATCACAGGTCTCTTTGATAACTTTTACATATTAAAAAAATTTTCAAAATTTCTTTATTTTTAAAAAAATCTCCGTAAAACAGTTAAAAAACAAAATCAAAAAAAAAAAAACGAGCGAGAAACAGACTGACCTACAAAACTTGACTTGGAACGAATACATGAATTGTTTCAAGCCGAAGTTGTAAGGTTTATTACAAAGGATATCTATGTGCATGTGTGTTTTTCATTAATAAGCGTGTATTTACGCGCGCTCGCAATAGCATTTAGCATACAATGTATACATAATTGAGTATTTCTGTACTGTAATTGCATGCACAAGTGGAAATTTTTTCTGTGCGCTCTCTAGATATTACGAAAGAAAGATAGATTAACTGTAAAAACACAACATCATACGATATTATCGTCGAGATTTATTCGCACAACAATAATGTGCATTAAGCCGTAATTTTAATAATCTCGAAGAGAACACGCGCCCTCTCTCGCGACGAGATTCAATTTTATCTGTAATTAAACGAGAGAGTTGCTCTCTTTTAAAATGCGTCTCATTTGATCCCGCTATTATCTCAACGAGGTCAAGTTAACGCGCACGAAGATTGCACTATTTACTATCGTACACACATAAATATTTGTTTTATTGATTATTTCGTTAAAAAATGGAAAGAAACTTGTATGTGCGTATTGTAAAAAAATGCATTTATATTTATATGAATTACACAGTCTCTTTTTTTTTTAGCACTTCATTCAAACATTTGTTTTACGTAAGCAGTCACAAGTGACGGCCTAACGTATGCAAAACACGCGGACGTTAAAATTGCTATTTTTTATCTTACGTGTGTCTAGTTTTTTAAATGTCTAATTTTGTTTTGTCCCAGCTCCCTTTTGTTTTTCAATTATCTCTTATAACTTGTATTATTATTATAAATGTCTGTTAGTATAAATTCTATCAATTATTCTGTTCTTTTTTATGTGTACGACATAATACACGTGTTAATAATGACTCATGAATAAAACTTACTTCTTCTGAGCGCTGCCATCCTTGATCCTTGATCTCTGATGCACGTCGAACGTTTCTCGTTAATATTTCCTGTTCCTCTCACTACCTGTTTTTCTCTCTGATCGTCTTTTTTTTTCAATACTAAAAGTATAAATCTTACCGCCAAAATGTTAATCACGCAAAAAATTGAGGTTATGGAAAAGGTTAAGCGCGTGACATTCGCGTCGCAATACTGATCAGCGATCACAGAACATTTCCATGTTCTTTAGAAATTTGCTACTAAACTCGGTATCGCAGTCCCCTCCGCCGTTCACCTTTCACTCGTATGGCGTGATTCATGATTTATCAATGATGATTTGTTTTCTGATATTTTATCACAGATGATAAGAACATGTAGCAAATAGAGAACTCCGACTATTTCTTGGACATATACTTATTTCTGTGCTGTACGAAGTTTAGTTGTTGCAAAGAGATTGTTTTCTTCTTCATTTTTTTTCTCTCTCTTTCTCTCTTTCTGTATGCTTGCCTTGCGATCTATAAAAAAAAAAAAAGTAAAAGGAAAGAAATACAAGACAAGGACGGTAATGCATAGCAATAAAGTTGCACTTTTTTTATTGTTAAAATATTATTGAGACATTATTGGTGGAACTTCACGTGTAAAAGCACAAGCAAAACTCGTCTGTACAAAAATGTACGATCAAGCAAGTCATTTCTGTGTAGATAACCAGAAAAGTGCCAATTAAGCGAATGTCAATCAATATATCAATTCTCCGCAATTATACCTTCTTGCAGTTTTTTTATTCTTTTGTGTGTGTGTGTTTGTGTATGAAACAAAAAACTACTGCAACTTTTAAATTAAACGGTGGCACCATCTGACCGCACGTGATCACACCTTTTGAAAAACCTAACTAATCAATTGTTGGCAAATTCGGTACGGTTGCATGTGCAGCGTCGTCGAAATCGCAGTCGAGATTGGCTGAGATGTCATTGGGTCCCATTCGGCGCGTCTTGAGAAGGCAGATCGAGATTTAGAGGTATTTTTCTTGCGCGGTGAGAAAAATCCTTCTAAATTCCAAGATCTCAAAATGGATCGCGAACTGGTAGACAAGTTTATCGAGGTGACGGGTAAGTTTCGCAAGTTTCACGGTAACTGTCGCGGTTAAATTCGCACAACAACAAGCAACAACGTGCGATGAGACTAGTTCATTAGATGTAAACACATGTGTCCTCTCTGTATTTAAATAAATCGCAACTGTGTTGAAAATGTGTTGGAAACAACAATTTGTCACGTAAGTAGATGCGATCAACGATGATTTATTGATGTTTATGCAGGAGAGAGCGAGGCAACTGCTCAACAGTACCTTGCACTGGCCGATGGGAACGTCGAAATGGCAATCAGCTTAATGTTTGAGGGTGGCGGCAGGGTACTGGAGCCCGAGAACGCGAATCCTGAACCACCAGTGAGAGCTCCTATTCTGCCCACTCAAGAAATATTGGTGCCACCTGAACCAGTGTGTTCATTTCCTCGATTGTCAAACAATGTGTTTGATAGATTCAGGGATTTTGCTGTAGAAACTCGTATGTTTAGTATACATATAAATAAATGTACATAAAGTTGTGGCATGCATCAGAATAGATTATAGATGTAACAATATTGATGTAGAACGACAAGAAGAAGAAATGACTCGTAGAGTCATGGGAACAAAACAGATTTCTCAAAAGAAATCAAAACGATTGGAGGATTTGTTTCGTCCGCCATGTGATATTCTCTTTTTGGGTTCCTTCATGGAAGCGCGAGATCATGCCAAGACCCTGAATCGTTGGTTGCTAGTCAATGTTCAAAATCCACAAGAGTTTAGCTGTCAAATTCTTAACAGAGATGTGTGGTCAAATCAGCAAATACAAGACATTGTAAAGGATCATTTTATCCTGTGGCAAGTATGTTAGACTGCATTAAGTTGTACACTTTATTTTACCGTATACTTTCATTTAGTAAGTTGCATCTGGTATTTTTAATTAGGTTTTGTCAAATACATCAGACGGAAGACGTTATATAGATTTCTATAATGTTGTGGGATATCCCTATTTGGCAATTGTTGATCCTAGAACAGGAGAATGTATGAAAACCTATAACACCATCACTGTGGATAGTCTGATGTCTGATTTAAATGATCTGTTAAGCACACACGCATCTCCGGAAAGCGCCACACAGGTTACATCCAACTCTAAAGATTGGAACAATTTTCCCTCAACACCTCCGAAACGAAATCCTCTAGCTGAACAAACAAAGAATGTTAGTAACACTCAAGTTTATTCACTAAAATAATCTTTATATATGATTAATTGTTCTCATCTTCTATAACATTCTCTTGTTTCAGGATTGTGGTCCTAGTAGTAAGACTTCTAGACTTATGTCAGAAAATATCATGGATTCGGGTTGGTGTTCAAATACAAATACTTATTTTGTGAAATATATATTACACGCAACACTTTGTTAAATGTTTATATTGTTGTGCATACACAGAGAATGATAATGCAGCGTCTAATGATATTACAAGCTCAAGTGTTCCAAGTAGCAGTAGCACTGCCATTAATAAAAAGAGGAAGCTGAATGAAGGTGAATGTGATGAAAAAGAGATACAAGTAGAGAAGTTACATTCGCATACAGCTGAAGTTGAAGGTAAGTTTAATGTTATACATGTGGTTTTATATTGTTTAACATTTTCTTCTTACCTCTTTGTTACGATGAGCGATAATTCCTTAATTCAGGTGATGAACCTTTCCTGCGGCTGTGCTTACGACTGCCAAGTGGTACAAAAGAAACATTTTCAATGCGCGCAACAAAAACCGTAGAAGTACGTGTTCGAAATATTCACTTAATACTGTACTGTGAGATGTTAACTTTGTACTATAATTGTAATATTTTTCAGGATTTTCTAATTAAAATGGAAGAAATAGGATTTCCGTCAACGGATTATACTTTTTTGGTTCCATTCCCGAAGACGAACATCGGCGCGCTGTCTTCAGACACTCGTCTTCAGGACACTATCTTGTTCCCAACAAACACCGTATTCATAACGAAGATATAGTAAAATATATCTCGCGAACAAATGCTTCCACTGCATACTGTTAACATGTCTTTCAAGTGAAAAAAATATTCACCTGAAACCTCTCTCGATATTATTCTACTATATTTCTACAGATGTTTATAAAATTTGTGTGCTGTGTATAGTTAAAAGTTTAGACTTGAGTTTTGTTTCTTAAAAAGAAAAAAATTAGCGAATGAACGTATTAGTTAAATGTCTCTTTTATGTATAGGTATGTAGTCGCAATTAAAAGTACGCGTCTTATTACGCGAATTAGACGTCGTTTTATAAAGATGAACGATAAGAAGCACTGCCACACAGTGTTCATTTCATTAAAAAAAAAAAAAAAAAAAAAAAAAAAAACGCATTCTTGTGATCGTTTTATTTTTTAGGATAAGAAACTGAGCTATACATAGAAAGACAAGCAGTGTTTGATCAAATTATTAGATTATGCATATGTTACAGTGTAGATGTTACTTTATATCTTATATTTCATTCTTCGTCTTTAATGCTGTATTAATTTTATTATTAAAGTTTCCAAATCTCTCATGTGAGTGCCGTCCATAATACAAACAGCCGTCTCGATATGTCCAAAATCTTCAAGCGGCACGTGACAATGACTATTTACGTCTTGACAATTGTGTTTTCTTTTTTTGTTTTTGTTTATATATAAAAATTGTGATACACGTAGTAAAACTATTCCGAAAATGAACAAATATTTGTTAATGTGATTCGAGATATGTGTCGAATAAGATCTCGGTGAAATACATTGACCAATACTGAATTGTCCCACAAAAGAGAACAAAATATCTTTGTTCGATTTTTTTTCAACTTTAAGCAATTCAATTAATTGATTGATTTTTTTCAACTTTAAGCAATTAATTTGCAGAGAACAGAAGTAAAGCGGCACGCGGAGAATTTTTTATCACGATTCAGTGCGGTCAGTGTATATAGTAGATGAATAAGACATACAACGGATAAATTCAAAGTTTTATCACACATATATGTCTATATATACACATATATGCTACATCATAAATACATTAATATATATGCTATTAAATGGTTTATTGAGATATAATCAGTTCAAGTTAAAACTGCCGAAATATAATTAAGATAGCATTACATACATATTGTAAGTATATTCATTATGATATCAATACAATATCAGCAACACACACACACACACGCGCACACACACATTCACATCCTAATATGCATTGATTAAAAAAAAAAAAAAAAAACCAATAAGTGTAGAATTCTGTAATATATATAATAAAAAAAAGAATTTCTCAATTTTATTATGGATATCTGTTGGATAAAAGACATTAATGATTAGTTCGATATTTCGTACTGTTTTTATTTGTCAGAAAATAAACTTATTAAAAATACATTTTTAACGTTACACGATAAAAATAGATGTATTGATTATTCGCACAACGAAGTACATGCGTTACACGAAGAGCTGTAAAATATCATATAAATATATCACATTTATATATATATCTAATCAATATTTTTAACGATTATAAGGGGCAGTACATAGAGGATCAGAAGGGTAAAAGATGTGAGCTTCATACAATAAAAAAACAAAATAATATAGCAAAACCCTAATTGCCATGTGTTTTTACATAATATAATTTTCTTTTTTGTACATATTTATATAATATTCTATATCGATTAAAAAAAAAAAAACTATTGTGTATATGTTACATATGTTATACAAATATACAGTCACTTTAAGTTTTTCAAATATTATGTGTAACGTATGTTCGAATTGTATTTTTTTTTTTTTTTAACTTTACAATACGTTACTTAAAACTTATATATATTCTCACATTACAAATAGTGTCAATATAAGTATTTCACAGAAATATAACAAACAATATTTGGTATATTAGTAAATATGTCAAATTGGAGTAGATATATAAATTATTTTACTTGTAATGTTAAAGAGAAAAAAAATAACAATTTAAACAATTTCTAAAATGTATCACAAAATTCATCTCGTCATGATAAAGTACCGCGCCAAACACCGCACTTCGATTAGAGCAATAAGAGCGATAAATATTAATGGTTACTAAGAAACACTGTTCTCATTAATCTACTGTACAATTCGAAAGCAGAATATTAGTGAGGCTGCATGAGTGAAGATTGCATGAGTGATGTCTGTGCGCGCAAGGTAAAACCCGTCACATCTTCTGTATAGTGGAATGAGAAAAAAAATATAATTAGAAATAACAAAATATTAGATATAATATAAAACTGATATATAGTTTAATAGCATTATAAATAAATCAAGTTGCTGTGCTAAAAAAACGTAAGCTGTAAGGGATAATAATCATAATTAATTTAGTTGCAATGTCTTCCGTTTTAGTTGCAAAATTCGATATGTGCTAATAAAATAAAACGAAGCAAATTACTGACGTATATAAATGGATGGAAAAGAAAATCATAAATATACTATTAGTAAATGCAGATTTTGTAAAATGCACTTGTGATGTGTAGTGTGTAATTTATATTATAATTTATATTCTGGAGATAACACATGCTTAATTGTTCTTTTAAAAAATGAGAAAGATAATTGAAATGTTTTTAATGTAAGTGTTTTTATTTTATTGAAACAGGCCTCAAATATAAATAAAATTCAAAAATCAAAATCAATCTTGATGCGTGGTTCACCGTTCAGTTACACGATCAAATCCGGAGTTTAAAAAAACCACTTATTTGATGAGATCTCATAAATAATCTCACAGAGGTCATTTATTATGATCTTCAGTCAATTAAACAACAATAATTTGAAATATGTACTTCGTCAATAGTTTACAAGAAAAAAATATTCTGCAAGAGAAAATAAAATTGATCTTACACTTTACATATCTACGATAAACATATCAACAAAAGACTTGCGATCATATGCTAATAACCAGAAAAAGCCAACAAAACAATAACATGAGTGTCAAAAGTCAAGGAAAGATTTCTGAAAATTTCAAATTTATGAAAATTGATTACAAACTTTGTACATACATATATAATGTGTCAATATATATATAAGTTAAATTTTAAGAGTTACAATTAAGTAGTCAATAAAGATACAATAAAGTCTAAATAAATGAAATAGTTAAAATCAAATTAAAAATTAAAAAGTCAAATATTCTAAAAGGATACAAATTTAAATTTTTATGTGAGAAATTAAATCGACCACGACTAACGTGAACCACGGCATCAAGGCTTATTTAGATTTTTGAAGTGTTTTTATTCATATACATGTTTAAATACATTATATATAAGGATAATCTCTTCATTTTTTTTTTTTTTTTTATAGATTTTGTATTAGCACAATATACTATTTTATAGCAATTAATATCATCTATATACACGCTACAAGATGTCTTAAGTATATATGCTTTTTTATAGTAATAAACATTGTATATTCGAAGACAAAATATGCTTTGAGTATTATACATTATATATCATATGTATATACACATATAGTCGATAAAGTTATTAATTAGAGAAAATGTTCAAAAAATATTAAGAACTGTGTCAATAAAAATAATGAGTTTTTGACTTTCATTCATTTTATCAGCAAAATATAATATATTGAGATTTTTCTTCATTAAATATATATTAAATATTTATATAAGCATTTAAAACATAACAAGTACACAGTAGTTATTATTTAACGACTAGAAGTAAGAAAATACAGTTTTATACAGTCAACGATATATCGACTTTACGTTCAAACTAAATTTTCAAGCGTCGAAATCTGATTGTTACTATTGTTGATTACTATTGTCTAATTTGCCTATAGAAAAAATGTATATTGATAATATAATAATTGAAGGAAATGTGTCTTTCAAGTTTGTGAAGGAGTATTTTAAAATAGCAAAGCTTCATAAGTTTATGGATTGGTATGAAAAGTTATATGAAGTATCTATCACGTGTGTATAATAAGACTGTTAGATTGCGAAGCATTTTCACTCGATCTATCTTACTATGTGTGTGACTTAAAAAATCATGAGAAATTATATAAAAAAATTTATGAAATAAATTCTTCTTCCATACCAAGATGCTCCAGAAAAATGCCCATTGGTGTACGTGTCAAACCAATGCTTTCGATTTTGTTTGCAATCTTGTTCTTGATGTTTCTTAATCTCAGCGAAGCATGTACAAACGTCGCTATAAACATTAATACAAAAAACGCAATATTGAGTTTCTTACCATGAAAAAAACATGAATAAAGTCACCAGTTATGTAACTTTCAACAAAGCTTGTGTATCGTACTATTCACATTAAAAAAATATAAAATATCAATTATTCTCTCTATCTTACCACAGATAGGCAACAGAATGCCCAGCATGAAAACTATAAGAGATCCCAGAGCATATGTTACAAAACATCCGGCAACTACTATGGCCAATATTCCGACTGAGGGATGTTGCCTTTTAAATGTATGTATTGCACTACCTTCCATGGATACATAGGCAAATACACCCAGCATTATCAACATGTATATAGTGCCAAGTAACATTTTAACTGGATGAATCAATCTGTACACATACAAAATTCTCACATTAAATATAAGCCATACGATAATTTCTTTCAAATGAACAATTTTTTAAAGAATATATTGTCATCAAATTTTCAAGATTCATACATCACATTTTAAAAGTGAGCCAACTCTAAATTATACCGTCGGTCTTATCATGTAAACAATCAAAATTTTTGATTGAAACGAATGAAGAACTTTCCAGCCAAGAAAATTTGAGAATTGCTGCACTAACATGCGCGAGCAGAAAAAATATATTATGCAATGTATCATTCATAGAACGTGATAAGAATAAGTCCGCTCGAGTTGGACGTGTGGAATCTACTCACCCAACGATCAGAAAGATGACGATGGACATGAACATGTAATTGGTCTGATAATACAGAAGATTGTTGACCACGCGTTTGCCCCATTTCTCAAAGTCCTTGAGATTCGGCAGCTGGAAGCGTGCGGATTCCAACAGGAAGTCGTCCAAGGTGCGAAGCGGTGGCAGTTCCAGGTCGTTTCCCACCTTGAAATTGTGCTTGTCCATCGTGGCGAGGTAGTGACACGATCTCGCTCGTCTTCAAACAGAGCGCGATCACTGATTCGCCGGTGTGTGTTTTCCGCTCGACTGTGTTCTATCGTCGACCGGTATTTTTGGACGATGACGAGAGCGATGCAAAGTTCATACAAGGTTGACAATGCGAAGTACCGATTGATCGGATTTCTTCGCGCGACCGAAACAGCGACGTAACGCGAATGATTTTCGAAGAAATAGAATAAAACAAGAAGAAATACCGAGTGTTTTCTTCGGAGTTACAGGTGTATATAGATGCAGTCAAGTGGCTGACGTGCCAAATCTAAACGTGCGGTACACGAACACTGCTTCAAAAAGTGTAGCACGCGTCATCTAGTGGTGGACAACACGAAATAACACAAATCTAATCGAAGAGCAGGGATAATAAACAGAATCATGTAGTAAAAAAAAGCCTAACCGCTGGCTACGTGTGCACGTCAAAAACATATAACAATTAAAAAAATAAACAAATATACATGCAGAATGTTCCATTTTAATGTTTGATGAGCAGCGAAGGTGCTATTTAACTTAAGCAATATTCGAGGAATATTTTAAAATATATTTCATTTACAAAAGAGCAAACAATTACCGATTCTTTATCGTTACAAAAACTGGAGCTAAAACAGAATATACAAGCTCTTTAAAAGAAATGTACATAATGAACGAATATGTTAAGTGGTCAAATTTAATCGTGTTAAATTTAAGAACATGATGTATTTCTTTGCGATAATATATTAACATATTACTGACTTAAATATTAATAACGCGCGACAATTTCTGCACCCTGTTGAGCAGAAGATCTCCTTGTTTCACCATTGCTTGGTACTGCCAGTTTTTGCTGTCCGGTCGATTCGTTTCGACTACACCGCCAACTCGGTCGACTTTGCAGTGTAATCTACCTGCTGCTATAAAACGTGACAATTCCCTGTGAAAACAGCGCATAATTAATTATAACAGTTATATAATTTATACATAAAATACAGTCGTTATTTTATTAGCGTTATTAGAATTGCAAAAACACTTCGCTTACTGATCGATATATTCTACTGTAACACCAAACGCTTCGGCCATGTACTGCAGAGTCAAAGATCGGTAAGATTCCAGCAACTGAGTGTAAGCGAGAATTCTCATTTCCCGAACGTAATACCGATAATGGGGGAATACTAAGTAATCTCGTCGTAGCAGACCTTCAACGTGCGCTAAAACAACGCAACAGTAATAATCGCAGGCATCTCTTCCAACAGCAACACACATTGAAATCTTATCAATCCAATTTACCGAGATTCTTGAAGAAGTCCGCGTAATGACAGTTGTACAACGAAAACAGATAATCCTTGACATCTGGATTGCTGTGAAGAACCTCCAATATCTCGGAGCCTTTGATGATCTTGTCTCTCAGCTCATTTCGCGGGAGACTTATCATGCTCAGATATACTGTGTATCTTACAAAGGTATTGTAATCCATAAGTTCGTAACTTGTAAACGTGCTAATTGTGTCCAAGAAAAAGTTTGCGGCCTCTTTGAAGTTGCGAACTGCTATGCAGTATGTTCCCTGATAGACTTTCAAGCGATTTCGTCTGTCCCAGTCGCCACCTTCTTCTATCAAACTGTAAAGTAAATTACAAAAGTAGTGATTACATTAAAAAAAAAATACACATAGTAAATGGTGAAAAATCATCATCTTTTCAAATTACCTTTTAGCTTTTTCGATATTTCTCGTGACATGATCATGATCTAGGTAGAACAGTCCGATTCTAATATTGTGAAACACAATGTCTAGTCTATGCCCTAACGATACCGTTTTGTCATAGGTTTTCCTAAACGCTGAGATTGCACCTTCCTTATCGCCTATTCGACAGAGATATTCGGATTTCTTTAAATTGGCATCTCGAACCTCCATTTCTCCTAAATTTTTCTCAGCGTCTTCAATAGCATCATCCAGTTTTTTCAACTGTTCCTCATTGTGCGCCTTCATTGTCGCAAGAAATGCTTCATCTACTTCCCACTCCAAATCTTTGCAAACTTCTTCGTAGAACGGAGCCATGTCTATTAAAAATATCATTTTGATAATTTCATTTTTTTTCAACTATAAACTACAATAAAAATAAAATAAATAAATATACCGAAAAGCAATTTTTCTCTGATATATTTAACGTGCTCCAATCAGTAGACTGGAGCACGAATCACAATGACAGCGATTCGAAGGTTATGTTTTAACAATAACAATAATGATGTATTTAGTAGACAGATAATGAATTACACACGGTGTTATACTGTGAAAGAAGAATCTGTTCATATACACTCTTTTAAACTTCTATCAAATCTTTAAAAATTGAAATACAACAAAACAGAAAAAATGCAATCTCACTATCGTTTTTGATGGCATCAAGAAGTTTCGTCTTCAGGAAAGGTTCGTCTTTGTGCTCGGGAAGGCTCAGCAAAAACTTCATTTGAGCCAACTCGAGATTCGGGTTCTTCTCCAAACCCTCTTCTTCTAAATTTTCCAGCGGCATTGTGAAGTTTTAGATAATAATCGTACAAGACGTAACACACACCGAAACGCGGGACTCTCTCCTTCAAAATCGCCTGTGTGTGTTCTGGGAGGGAGAAGAATGAGGCGGCCACTCGGTCACAGTGGTCTAGTTTCCATCGAAACCCTCAATTCGGTTTCACTCCGGTACAGATCAAATTTAATGTTCCGTTTCCATTGGAAGTAGAGTACTTATAAATCGAAGTAGAAGTGAAATGAGCGCAATTTTGGGCGATTTTTGGCGATCGTATGGTACATATACCAAAGTGTACCAAACTATAGTGCGAGTGACTTCAAATTATAGTTTGGTACACTTTGGTATATGTACCATACGATCGCCAAAAATCGCCTTTTATGCGTTTCCATCGATTTAAATTTGATTCTACGCCGCATTAGGTGTGAATTAATGTTTCAGTGGAAACTAGACCAGTGATGAAAGATCGAGCCCGCTGCAATGAGAGTATCAAAGCGGTGGGGCACGCACACAAGCAAGAATCGTCGTCCGTGACGGCGGTTTTCGCTTGTGTGCGTGCCTCCTCGCTTCGATACTCTCGTTGCAGCGGGCTTGATCTTTCATCACTGCTCGATCAGGCACATTAGAGTTTTTATGATTGCTTTCCCGTCCCGTAAGCTAGCGCATGTTCGCGGATGGTGCACTTGGTAACTACATTACAGCATAACATCCTGCAAAGTGGCTCGTATGACCTTATTGAGG